ATTCATCTTTTCAACGACCCAGCTTTTGCTTTGTTATTTTTCTCTACTATTTTCCTGCTTTCTGTTTCATTGGTTTCTACTCTAATTTTTATTATTTCTTTTCTTTTGCTTGTTTTAGGCTTAAATTGCTCCTCTTCTCTAGTGACCTAAGATAAAAACTTCAATGATTTGAGATTGTTATTTTTTCTCACATATTCACCTAATGTTATGAATTTCTCCATAAGCACCATTTTTTACTGCATCCCACACATTTCAATAAGTTTTATTTTTATTTTATTTGGTTTAAAACATGTTGAAATTTTTCTTGAAACTTCCTCTTCAAACTATGGGTTATTTAGAAGTTAACTGTCAGATTTCCAAATATTTGGGGGATTTTTAAAATTTATCTTTCTGCTGTTGATTTTTAGTTTGTGTTTTGAAAATATACATTGTTATTTTTTTAAGTTTAAAATATATTTTATGGTCTAGAATGTGGTCTATCTTGGCAAATGTTTCCTGTGAGCTTGAGAAGAATGTATAGTCTTTTGTTTCTTTGGTGGATTATTTTATTAATGTCAATTAGATCAGGTTGATTAATTGTGCTGTTCAAGTCATCGATATACTTTTTGATTTTTTGCCTGCTTGATCTATCGATTACTGACGATGGAATGTTGAAATCTCCAATATAATAATGGATTTGTCTATTTCTCCTTTTAATGCTATCAGTTTCATGACTCGTACTATGAAAATTTCTTGTTAAATTCATATATGTGCAAGACTGTTATGTCTTCTTGGAGAATTGACTCCTAGATAATTTTCTTTGTTCTCGAGTTTGCTCTGCCTGAAATTAATATAGCTACTCCAGTTTTCTCTAGATTAGTGTTAACATGGTATGTCTATCCCTATCTAGTACTTTTAACCTATCTTAGCCTTATATGGCAAGGGGTTTCTGGTAGACAGCAGACAGTTAGGTCTTGCTTTTTTAAAAAAAACTGACAATATCTTTTGATTGATATAGTAGAACACTTATTTTTAAAAGGATCATTGATATAGCTAGATTAATGTGGATGTGTTGGTAACTCTTTTCTATTTGTTGATTTTGTTCTTTGTTTCTTCTTTTTTGCCTTCCCCTTTTTAATTACTGTCATTCATTTCACTTATCCATATGCTGTAATCATCAATGCATGCTTACTATTATAACCTTAAACAATGAGTAGTCATTATTTTCATTTATTGTTAACACATCTTTTCGATGTGTTAACAATAAAAACTAATATTTTTATTTTACCTTTATTTATTCTTTCTCTGATACTCTGTCCTTTCAAATGTAGATTCAAGTTTCTCATCCTTATAATTTTCCTTCTGGTTGAACCAATTCCTCTAACATTTCTTTCAGAGTAGGTCTGCTGACAATGAATTCTTGTCACCAAGTTTATCTCAGTTTTTGTTTATTTGAAAAAAACCTTATTTTCCCTTCTTATATGTGAGTAACATCACTGGATTTAATATTCAAGGTAAGTGGGCTTTGTTCTTTCAACCATCTGCTCCAATCTACTCTCCTTGCTTGCAAGTTTCTTATGAGAAGAAACTAATTCTTATCTCTAATTCTTATCTTTGTCTTTGAAGAGTAAGGTGTTTCTCTCCCTATAGCTTCTTCCAAATTTTTCTCTCTGCCTTTGGTTTTCTATAGCTTGAAAATGATATGTTTAAGTGTGGGTTTTTTTTGGTGTATTTATCCCTGCTGGTGTCCTCTAAATTTTCTGGATTTGTGGTTTGATGTCTGTCATTATTTTGGAAATTTCTTGACCATTATCACTTCAATAGTTTTTCTGTTTCAATCTCTTTCTTCTCCTTTATTCTTGGAATTATACATATGTTATGCCTTTTGCAAATGTCTCATGGTTCTTTGACATTTTGTTGTGATTTTTTATTTTCTCTTTGCAGTTCAATTTAGGAAGTTTCTACCAACTCAATTCATCTTCAAGCTCATGGAGTCTTCCCTCAACCATGTTAAGACTACTCATGAGCCCACTGAAAGCATCCTTCATTTTCATTACAATGTTTTTAATTGATAGACTTTCCTTTGGACTCATAAAGTTTCCGTCTCTGTGCTTACATGACCTCTCTGTTCTCACACATGATCTACTTTTCTCCATTAGAGCCTGTAACATTTTATTTTAAATTCCCCACCCAACAATTTAATATTTATGTCATACTGGAGTCTGGTTTTTATCATTGCTTGGTTCTTCAGATTTCTTTTTCTTTTTCTTTATTGGCATGCCTCTAATTTTTTGTTAAAATATAGACATGTTCTATCCAGTAATAGGAAATAAGATATTTAGGTCCTTAGAGTGATAGCCTATGCTAAATTGGCAAGGAACTGGATTATGTTTACATTTGTTATAGTTGTTAAGTGCCAGAGCCTCCAAAGTCTTCTTGTGTCATTGTTTTTGTGTCCTTTACTGTCTCTGGTTTGCCTAAGTAACTCTCTTCAGAGAGGCAGTATCTTGCAGATCTTTCATCTACAATCCACTATTATTACTTTGGAGTCTGAGGATGTGGCAATGAGGTTTAGGGAAGATATATAGTATTCTATAATCTTCCAATTAAATCTCAATCTTTTAGGGGCTCTTTGTCTTGGGGATGTCAGTTTTCCAATAGTATAGCTTCTCTAGTAGTATACCTTTATTCCTCCTGTCCCTTCCCCTTTTCCTTGGCTATAAAATTCCCAATTAATTTCTTTTAGACCCTGATTGCTGTTGACTATGTCTCTTATCACCTCCAACCCCACAGTTGAGATAGGGATGAAATCAGATAAATTCCTTGCCCCTAGTTGGAAAAAGGCCTGGAGAATTAGGACTTTTTAATTAAAGGGGCTCTGGAATATTTCATAACTATTCTTTCCCATCCCTGACTGTGAGGGATCTTTCTCAAAGAGAGAACCTCCTGAGGTTTCTGAAATCCATGGAAGTATACCCCACTTGCCAATGGAACCTCTAGGAGTTTCTTTCTCTCAATATGAGTCTATACTAAGCCTGAAGAAATTCATCTGAAGTATCACAAGTGTTCCTACTGTTTAGGAACAGTAATCCAGTGGATTCTGCTCCAGGTAAACAGATCTTGGTTGTGACTCTCTTGATGACCCTGAGTCTACATTTCAGGGTGATGGTTTGCCTGCATCTTCAGCCCTCTGAAAGGTTCAAGAAAAGTTGTTAATTTCTAGTTTGCTCAACTGTTTTTTTTTGTTGTTGTTGTTGTTGTTGTGGTTGTTTGTTTGTTTGTTTGTTTTACTATAAGGATGGGAGTGACAGTTTTCAAGCTCTTTACATGTTGGGGATGAAGCAGGAAGTCTCTCTGATCTATTTTACTTAATTCCTTCTGTCTCTCTTCAGCATGCTTGAGAAGTGGGAGGCTGTCCCATGGCCAGCTAGGGCCTTCTCTGGGTTAGACTCCTATTGCTGTAAATTTCCTCTCGTTTTCTGCTAGGCTTCAAACATTGTATAACCAGGGCTCCTTAGCTGGAACTGAGCAGAGACAGTGCTCTCTGAGATTGTAGAGGGAACACTGATGTGCACAGCATATGGTAAACCCTACTGGTGTTACAGGAAGGCAGTGCCACAGGAGGCAAATCATGAAAGTGGGGACCTTGTTGCTACAGTTAAGGATGCTCTTTGGAATCTGAAGAGCTGCACAATCCCTGTTGTCCCACACACATCATGGCAAAGAGAGACATGGAAATCGCTATAGGTGCTGTATAACTGGTGATCTACAGACCCTGGCCTCTGAGACATGCCCTTACATCATTATTCTTGTCTTTTAAGTACATTATATGACAGTGTTCTGATGGGCTTGCTAAAGGAGGAATACACATGGACTTGGGAAGAGTTACACACATAACTTAAGAAGCAAACATCTTGTGATCAGCTTCCCTGGCTGCATCAGCATCCTTCTATTAAACTGAATGATAATTTCATTGTAGTTTTGTTTTCCTTAAGTATAAATAGGGTCATCTCACAAAGACCTAGATTCCCCTTTATCTGACAACATTTGAAATTACAGACCATTTATTTTAATTCTGATTAATAAGGATGTATGTGACATTGTTTTCCTCTTAGATACTGATGCTGGAAATAAAGAAGCAACCTATTGACCCATGTGACACTTTTGGCGCCAAAGTGTCTAGAGCAGCCAGACAAATCTAGATACTTTTGTTCATTGATGATATATATATATATATATATATATATATATATATATATATCATAAGATACCAAGAAGTATAAGAAAAGGATTGGCTCCTCGATGGCCCCTCTGAAGGCAAATCCCTCCAAACTGGGGACAAAGAAAATTATTCCATCTTTCCAAATAATGCCCCCTGCTGTACCCTCTGTAATGAAATAAGGACTATCTATCATGGTGGCAGCTGGTCGGTAGACTAGGAGGGGTGGTGAGAAATGTGCAATGGGAAAGAGGCTGAAGCAATATAACAAGCTGGGAAATTTTCCTCCTTTCATCTGGGTTTGAGATTTTTCACAGACTATTTTTCCACAATGTTGAATGATACCAGGTCCCTACAGTTTTCTGAAATTTTTTGAATCATCTGGTATCTGCCTTTTCCAGGCCCCATTGACCCCCACTCCCCCAGCAAGGTTGCTGTGGTTCCAAGTTGGGAAGGGAGAATGAACACAAACAAAAGTTTAAGAGAAGCCCTAGAATGGACAGGGATGTGTAGAGAAGGTTGGAGATGCCAGATAAGAAGAACCAGGGCAATTCCCAGGGTTGGAAGTAGATGGGAAGTGAGAGAATGGAAGAGATAGTGGGCATTAAAAAAAGTGCTGAGGGAGAGAAGGAGTAAGGGTAAGAGGTACAAAATGAATCAGGAAAGGAAAAAGGAATGTGACTCTACATAATACACACACACACACACACACACACACAGAGCTATAAAGGAGGGCTGAGACATCACAGTCGCTGACTGTACTGTGTAGATAGAACTATTTGCAATAATTTGGAAATCATACCTTGTTTTGTTTAAGGGCACCTTTCTCTTTCATGTGAGGACAGTCCTTTCCCGTCACCACAGCTTTGATATCTGCCACCGGCACTGCAATTCATAAAAGAAAATGAAAGTAATGACACCATTGAAAGCTTCAGCATCAATAAAGAAGCAGAACTAAGCACTGAGTCTGCTTCCACATTTGCTGGTCCCAGAAATGACTGCAAAAAAGAGACAAGAAGAGTGGTGAAAAAAAGAGAAGTCAGGCTGTGTCCCAGGACTAGAGACTAAAACACATTCTTATATTCTGGTAAAAACGCATCTGTGGGGAGAAAGAACTATGTCCACAAAGTCTGCTTCACTAAAACAAAGACACTAAAAAAAAATACCATTCTAGGAGTGTTGAAGTGATGGCATTAGAAGCAGCAATGGATAACAGTGATTGTAAACGCATCAACAGATGAGCACTGTCATTACAGAGGGCTTCTGTGTGCCAGGAGCAGTGCCAAGTGCTTTTTCCATGTCAGTATCTCTTTCTACAGCATCTGCATTTATGTAGTTTCCAAGTTTGGGATAAAGAAGGAAAGCAGCCTTATTTCAAAAAACTTACCTGACTCTCAACACTTCTCAACTCTCACTCCTTTATCTCTCCCTATACCATCTCATTATTTCTTGGGACAATTCCAAGAAGTAGGTGAGATTATCCTTATTTTATAGACAATGAAATTAAACGGAAATAAAGGAAACCTTAATCAGATAGGGAATTCTTAAAATAATGCAGTTAGATAAAATGATGTTATCTCATGTCTTAGGAGGTGGAGGAAGATAAGAAAAGATGTGAAAACGTCTCTGCATTTAAAACTTTTGTTAAAAATCAACCAAGAGAAGATAGTAGGAGGCTGGTTTGAAACTTTAAGGTAAAAATGCAAAGTCATCCCTCCTTCTCCAATCACTAATCCTTCAGTCCCACGAGGATTGTGAATCTATGGGCACATGCAGACTAGCTTGTCTTTACCAAAGGTGGGAATTTAGGATCTCTGAGTGATCCATTCCTTATGCTGCTTCAAATCAGGAGGAGAATGTGAGATTTCACAGTTAAAGATTGTATAATTTTTTTTTCAGAAAATTGGTTGTAAAATTGATAAATATAAAATTACAGAACATAAAGAATGTTGAAACAACTGAACAGGAAGGCTATGTTTTCTGAATAAACTAAAATTAAATCTCTTGACAGCCCTCAAGCTCTCTCTACCATAAGATCAGTGGGGTTGTAGAAGCCCTTCCAGGATTCTCTGTAGGCTCCTCACCTCATGGGTTCCTCCATCCTGAAGCCCTGATTCTAGACCCTTTTGGTAGACATTATTTGCTCACTTATACCTGCCTTTCTGCTTCTTTTGGCTACATGAAAGACTACATTTCCCAATAGTCTTTGTACATAGGTGGGGTCATGTGACTAGCCTTGGCCAATGAAATGTAAGAGAAAGTGCTTCTTTTCTAGATTGAGCCAGTAAAAAGCCCACATTCTCTATTCTGTTTCCCCAGCTGCAGAAACTGAAGGAGTACAAGTTTCATTCAGATGGTGCAACTATGGATGGCAAAGCAAACATTGGCTTGTGTTCCTAGGTGCAAGTTAGATAACATGAGAAACAAACTTTTGTTGGGCTTAAGCCACTGAGATTTTGGGATAGTTTGTTTCTACAGCAAAATGTGGCAATGCAGTCTGTCCTGAGTATTATAATTCTTTACTTCAGATGCCTTTTCTGTCTCCCTACCTGGGCCCCTTTAGATTGGCATCTTGCTGTAGGTTCTCTGTATGGTTCCTGAACCTACCTTTGACTGTAAATTCTGACTTCAGTACTCCTCAAATCCATTTTCATAATGAAAAATCAGTCTTATTGCTCTTAGTAGCTGAGCTGGCTGCCTAATCAATACCCTAAAGAGGGCAGATTCAGACACTTTGAGAAGTTGATTAAAATTTCAATGGGCATAATGAAGTGAATTTTTAATATGACTAGCACACCAATTCAATAAACCTCAAGCTTCATATGAAGTTTGGATTACAAGTACATTGTAGAAAGTCTTTTGTATAATATATTACGTGGCCAGTGAATTATAGAGAGGGTTCACAATCTACAAATAGTAAGTTACTTGTTGGCTTTGAAAACTCATTGTATGGAATGGGACAAGAGGAAGATAGAGGTGAGTTCATCTCTAATGGGAAGAATTCAAGGACGAAGTTATTTCCCCAGTGGGTTTTGTGGAAGTACACTATTTTATCTTTTTAAATATGTATTGTCCCTTGTTAGAGAGATAAACTGCTATCTCACTCATAGGATTATGAAACTCACAAAAGAAAACCAAATACAAAGTAACTTTGCATTTTGCATGATTTTTCCTTTAGATACACCAAAAGATTAAGCCTAGGAAGGACTGACAATGCCATCCTTGCTAGTCCTAGGGGCAGACACAGAGGGGTCAACCTTATGCTTCTTGAATATATGTTCTAAGGAGGTCATAGCGGGATTTTTATGACTTCAAAGCCAAGCCAGTATTTACATCCGAGCAAAATGAAGAGGTGAGGCCCAGAGACAAGAGAATCAGGAGGGTCACTTCTATAAGAAGCACCTACTTTTACCCTCTGAGACAGGGCCTCATTTATTAGAATTATTCAGTTCAAGTTGGATTGAGACCATCTTAATTCAACATTCCATTTTACATATGGGAAGACTGAGGTTTTGAGAGAAGAAATCAGTTATACAATGTCACATACCTAGTGGAAGACAGAGTTGGGCTTAGTGCTTCATGCTCCAGTGTTAAGGTGTAATTTCTTACTAAGGTTTGAACATGCCAGCACCCCAAATCATGCTGAGCACTACCCCAAATATAGTTGTCACTTCTGACATGTTTAGGAAACTTTTTGCTAGTATCTGTGGAAGAAACTTTAATTTTAATTTGAAACAAAAATATCACTGAAAAAAGTAAATGTGGACACCATGATGAACAGAATTTCAGTTTTACTACCGGGAACCAAGCAAGGCAAAACTGTCTCCAGAAAGCAGCTGATAAGTCTTGAGCACTTGCTTGGGTACATAGCTCCATAGCAGAAGCTCCTGTGAGTGGAGACACAGAGGAGGGGCAGGATGACTTCAGTAGAGTTGAGTGCAGAATCTGGTCTCTCCAACCTGAGTAGGCTGGCCAAGCAGTATAGCATGATGGAAAGAGCTGTGCTTTTGGAATCAGGAACCCAGGGTTTGAATTCCAGATCCTTTTACTCTTCTACCACTTTGAGCTAAAGTTCTCAGAGCCTCAACTTCCTCATTTGCAAGGTGAAATTATAATATTTTTTATCTTAAGGAGGGGTTGCTTTAAGAATTAATTCCTAACACTGGAGCCAAGATCACATATGATTTTTAATCTAGTCAGTAGAGAGTATGGGGAAATATTTGGGCCATGATGTGGGCCATGATGTTGGATGGCTGCATTTGGATCTTTGCTCTACTATTTACTAATCTTGTGATTTTTAACCAAGGTGCAGAAAAATAAGGATGTAAAATGAGGATGGTAATGTCTACTTCTTTAATGTAGGTAGAAGGAAATTTATGTCAAGCTCTCAGCACAGTGCCCAGAATATTATATGCACTTAACAGAGGTCATTTGCAATTATTCCCATTATCAATAATCAAAGTTCATTCTCTCTGTAGATGGAGGGACCCAAATCCCTCACTGTGCTTCTATGACCCAAATGCACCACTTTGCCTGGCCGTATCAGCACTATCCTCACCTACCATGACAGGCTTAATCTCCTTCTGGGAGGGCATCAGCCTGTGCTTTCCTGCCTGTCCCTTTGATGTGGGAGTGAGGAATGCTGGCCTAGATTCTTTCAAAAGGAGGCTGCGAGGGGCCTGGGGCATGGCTGGGAAGCAATAGAGCCCTGTGTCTAGTGGGGACGATGACAGCCTATAAATCCCTCCCCACCCCGGGGAGGGGAGGGAAGTAGGATGAGAAGGATGTAAGGAAATATGGATTGCAAGGACCACATTTCCTGGCAAACAAAAAGCATATGAAAAGAGAGATTTCCTAAACTTTTGGGGAAGAAGACAGCCAAGGACAGGCCCTCAATCTTTCCTAGTGCTAGTTGAATTAAGAGGATTCAATTACACTATTGGATTCATCAATATCTCAATATTCAGCCCTGATTAACTCAAAGAGCGGAAGACAATTTTTTCCTCAGTCTTAAGAGAGGGCAATTGTACATGGCAAGAGCAGAGGCACTTAACATTAATTAAAGGAATGTCTCATTTTCCTGGTGGAATAAGTTTTTCTGACTTTTAAGGGCTCCAAGAGAGGAGCTATTTTGCTCCAGGCAGAATGCAGAATTGGAACAAAATGCAAGCCAGGACACTGGTGTGTGTTTTCATAAAGCTAATTTATTCATCAGAAGGAACTGTCTTTATTCTAAGAGTAGGTCCTTCTTACCTACTATTTTGTAACTAAGGGTCCTTTGTTTTGTGAAGAAAACTGTGATTTGTAACTTTTGCTATATTTTTTTAGTTATATTTTATTTTCTTAAATAAAATATGCATGCTTGAAGCAGTAAACTTCAGTTTTCCAGGCCAGGGAAACAGGTGGACACAGATACAATCTCACCCCCCACTCCACACACACTCCCCATATGCACACTCATTCACAACTTCTCATTATCAACCTATCTTGCAATGGATGAAGTGTTTGTGGAGAGGACTTTTTTTGTGTGCGTGAGGAGTGTGGTACCAGGGATTGAACTCAGGGAGACTTGGCCAGTGAGCCACCTCCCCAGCCCTACTTTGCATTTTCTTTAGAGACAGGGTCTCACTGAGTTGCTTAGCACCTCGGTGTTGCTGAGGTTGGTTTTGAATGCATGATCCTCCAGCCTCAGTCTCCCCAGCCTCTGGGATTATAGGTGTGCACCACTGTGCCAGGCTAAGGAGTGGGCTTTGAAATTTCATATTACTGGATTTCCAAGGCAGCAGAGGAAAGAGAGGGACAAGGAACAAGCGTTTTGGAGACACTGCCAGGAGGGACTGCTGAAACCTCCCAGAACCAGCATCATTCCATGGCCACCAAAAGCTGTGAGGAGATTTGCAGCTCAGGCTTTGCTCCTCTGCAACCACCCTGGAAAAGTGGCTGTCCATGCCATTGGCACTCCTGGCTGCCAGATAGCCATTTCCATCTGGGTTCTTGGAGGCGAGGCCTTAAGTAAAGTGGAGGAGGCATCAGCTTGAGTATGAACCCAGGAGGGGGTGTCAGCTTGTGTGTTGTTCACATGCAAGAACCTTCTGTAGGAGCCAGGTTGCCCATGTCCTAAGCAACTGGTCAGCTGGAACGGGTGTGCTGTACCTAGCAGCTGGCAAACCTCCAAATCACATGAGTATTCTAGGATTGAGAAGTGGATTTTATCCCTGTAATTAGGATATATAACATGTCCTGTGAGTGGGAGAGTCAATTCACTGGGCCACAGGGGAAAGAGTGAAATAAAATGATTTTCCCGTCCAGATCACTTTTTCTGTGTTTTGAGCAGGTGAAGAATAGGGCTGGGGAGTCCTCCCAGAGAGCTGCTGGTTACTCTGACCTCTAAGAACCTCGGACTCTTCATTGAACCACAGTGATGAGCAATGATTCCAAATTACTAGCCCTGAATGGTCCCTAGTTCACAAGTTTTCACCAGTGAGTTTTCATCAGTTAATATAAGTGGGGGGAAATGAGTGCACTGGTATGTTTTCATAAAGCTAATTTATCCAGCAGAAGGGACAGTCCATTATTCTAAGATTAGATCCTTTTTTTGTGTGTGTGTGTGTGATCAAGTATCCTTTCTTTTGTGACAAAAATTGTGATATGAAACTTCAGTTAGATTTTTTTTTCAGTTGTTGTTGAACACAGTACCTTTATTTTATTGATTTATTTTTGGTGGTGGTGAGGATCGTACCCAGGGATTCACACATTCCAGGCAAGCATTCTACTGCTGAGCCACAACCCCAGATTTTAATTTTTAACATTCATTTTTACAAAATTTAAAGTAGGCAATACACTAGCCATTCACTTAAAAATTGTTACTTATTGGTGAAAGCCAGATTCAGGGACTCACTATGTGGAGTATCAGGAAATATCTAGCTCAGCAGTTCTCAAACCTGTGTGGACATCAGAGTCACCTAGAAGGTCTGTTTAAACAGAGTTTGCCAGATGCTACCCCAGAGTTTCTGATTCATCAGGTCTGGGGGTGTAGGTCTAATAATTTGTATTGCTAAGAAGTTCCCACACTTAGAGAACCACCATCCTGGATATTTGAACTATGATCATAGTGTCCTCATCTACAGGCAAAAGCCCAGGACCCCCTGGGTAGGTATGCAAAGGCACAGACCCAGACTTTGCAGCAGATTTCAGATTTCTTTCTCCCAGCTTTAGGGTGGCAATGATGTGGGCTAGGAAGGGAGTTGTCCTATGGAAGGACAACTTTTGAACTGTATGACACTACAAAGACCAGATTGTCCCATTTTTAAGTTGTAGGAAGACAGAATGTTCCAGGTTATCTGCCTGAGATGTCAACCCAGAGTCTGAAAGTGTCAGGAGTTTTCTCACTTATGGTTTATTTTCGTCTTTGATGGCCATGAGCTGTAAGGAAAGTATTCCAAATTTGACTTCCATGGGCCCTGGGGTAACAAGAGGAAGGAGTGAAATAGGGTTGGGGTGGGATTCAAGACTCCGGGACATGCTTATCTGAACACCACAGGGTTGGTATAACTTCTAGAGGTTATGTAAAATGTCCTAACTGCTCCCTCTTTGCTTTCTCTACCTAAGATATCCTCCAAGGCTGTGCTCCCTTTTTCTCATTTCTCTTCCAAATTAAATCATCACCCTTGTGTATTTTATTGTTTCTGTAATGCTTTGTTTAATCTGCATTTAACACTGAACTTGCACTTGGTTTGGTGTAGGGCTAAAAGAATCCTTCCCATAACTCCCTCTTCAAAAGCATGCATATTAAAACAGACAACATACAAAAAAGCGCAAATAAACATAAGTAATATATATCTTGTGGAATATTTAGCAAATAATAGAATTTCATTCATCATAAGTTTTCAAAGTATTTGAATTACTTCTCTGAAGCAACTCAACCATACTTGAATCTGCCATTGGCTCTACATTATCATTATGGGATACATTAAACCATCATGAATAAATATGGTAGAGATCAAGCATGTAAGTTATGTGAAAGTCTTCTGGGTCATTAAAAAAAGACAGTTGACAAAATTAGGCTTATGTTATTTTGGATCCCTGAAATATCCATCTGGATAAATTATGTGAAAAGCAGATATCTGAGCTCCAAATTTATATCTTTCAGGAACAATGTCTGAGCATCCCATTTATACTCTCTGTGTGGATGCACAAGATGAACCAAATTCAAAGGGCTTATTTAGACAGTTTTGTTGTACAACATATTGTGACTAAGAAACAAACAACCAACCAAAACTCAGGTGTTCTACGTGAGAGAGCCACTTACATTTGTCCTGCAAGGAATCATGGGGCACTTCTCCCTGAGGGCTTTCTTCCAAGTCTCCATAATGTAGGACCTTGTGATTTGGAGAAAGCCGACAATACCAAAACTTGTCTGTGGAGAAAAACCACAAGTTAATAGGATAAGTGATTCTGGTATTCAAAAATATTAGCATGATTATTTCCTAATACTCTAACCTGGAGGAACAGGTGAAAAGTTATAATTCCTTTGATTTTAAATCTTGAGAAAGTATGAATTCTAGTCCCCAGGCAGTAAGCCTCCTTCTGATTTTGATATTTAGGTATCACCTGTCCTGCTTGGTCCTATTTGATAACTATTGCAAAGTTACCAAATCCTGGTGGTTTCCAGAGTATATTTAACCAGTATCTGTAACTACCCAGGAGATCATTCCTTAGGTCTGATAAAAGTGGGGAGAGAGCTAAGTGCAGAGACATGATCTGTAATCCCAGGACTTGTCATGCCAGCTACCTGGGGGCTGAGGAATGAGGATCACAAGTTCAAGGCCAGCCTGGGAAATTTAATAAGACCCGGTCTCAAAAATTAAAAAAGGGGGGGGGGCTTGGGGTGTAGCTCACTTGCAAAGCATTGTCACTGAGAGACAATGGGTTCAGTTCCTAGTCAATACTACCACCATATAGGAGGCCACATCTTGATTGACATAACAAACCCCCACCCTTCAGGGGCTAATGCACACAATGACCAGTGAATGAATTGCTGGGGACTAGTGATACACACAGGCCCTAGGAATCATGAGAGGCTCACTTGAATGATTCAGGAATTTAGCAAAAGAATAAAGACACAATCATCTCCTTCCTAATATCTTAAGTTTAGTTTTCTGAATGGGCATGACCCAGGCCTTAGGATTATTCTTACAAATAATTTCCTTGATTTTACCCCCTCAACCCCCAAAGGTAATAAGAAATACTGAATAAACCTGTGAGGCAAGGAGGGGGAAATAAGAGCCCTTGATAAGGAACTTGAACTTCAATGTTCCTGAAGCTAGACAGGCTCTGCTCCCGCCACCTCCTCCAGGAAGGTTTCCCTTGATCATTTCAGCAGAAGGGCCTCTCGACCTTTGAGCTGCTCCGGCATGTTCTTTGTATGAACACAGATTAGACTGGCATTACCGGTTCTCACATGTCAACCCCCTTAGTATCCCCCTGTATCTGCCTCCTCCCTAGGTAAGCAACTTGCCCTAGTGGGTGTACTGTGAACAATTACAGAAGGGAAAAGAGGGCTCCTGGATCCTAATTGGCCCTGACAGTGTGTAGAAGTCAGGGTCTCTCTGCTGACAGCCACTGTCCTCTCATAATTGCAATGTTCCAATCCTTGGATGCAGTGCCTGGCATATAAACACTGTATAGTAGGTGTTGGCTAAATTTATCAATGAAGACCCAAGGGCACTGGGTTATAGCACCTCAGGGCACACAGCATCCGTTATCTACAAGCCCTTTGTAGCTTTATGCAGCTGGATAATGCTATGGTTTCGGTCAAGTCACCTCATTACTGTGCTTGCAATCCCAAATTGTTTTGAAACCATTCTGACAAAAAAGCTCTCCACTACATTTTAAGAAAAGTGGTTTTCTATCTAAAATTGCTTTCACTGCAAAATCATGTTTTAACAGTATTTCCTCTAATAGTCAAACACATTTTAAGAATGGAAGTAAAAGTCACAACGAACAAGGAAAATACCCCAACTTGAGCCACAAAATCTGAGTGCCTCTGTGATTCCTATCTTCCTTTTAGTGTGCAAATGAGGCTTGAGAATTCCTGAGTGTAGTCAGAATATGGCAACCCATATTTACAGGAATCTGAACTCTGGTGGAAAAGTTTGAGATGGTGGAGAAGGTCATTTAATGGCTAGGAAAACATCTTCAATTGCTCAGTTTTCAACATTATATATACACAAACTCAGGGTTGTTTTTCTGGGAGAGCACTTCAAAGGGAGAGAAGTTATTCCCTGAGTATCTCAGCCATTTTAATTAGGCAAATGTGCAATTACTGGTTTTCCATGAGGAGCACACATTTGAGAATTTGATTTGAAATTCACAATAGGAATTGTGAATTCCAAAGGAGGATGCTCTCTTTTCTGAGCATCCAATGTGCTGTTGGGAACCTGGCATGACAGGTTTGGGTGGCTGTCTTCCCACAAGGACCTTTCATCTGGTCCCCATGCCCCATGATGACCACAATTGGCTGTATAAGGCTTTTCCTCCTCAGCTACCTCTGAGGTAGGATTTTGGGCTAAGTGAGTGACAGAAAACTGGGAAGGAAATAAGTGAGACTTGACCCTTGGAGAAGGCAATCTTATATTGAATAAGGTCTTAGCCTGTTCTTTTAGGAATCCTCTCTACAAACTGGGATAACTCAAGGGGTGAGGGGTGGTACTAGAAGACAAGGAGTCAATAAGGCACAACAATAAAAGATCATTTATATCAGAATATTTTGAGGGGAGGAGTAAAGAAATTTAACTGATACATACAATTTAATGCAAACAGATATGAGTAAATTGTACAACACACTCATCTGTAAGATATATTCACTTGTGAGACTTTGAAACACTTTGCTGCTTATATTTTCAGGAGAAATTTATTCATCCACTAAATAATTATAGTGTCGCTGCAATGCAGACAGCATTCTACTGGGTGTAGCAAGAAATCATTAGAACAAATGGCAGGCATGAGAGAGAAAATAGAAAAGCTCAAGGAAAAGGAGTCCCCTCTGTTTTTCATGTTGGCTAAGAGAAAGATGACAGAAATGCTTGTTTCCCAGGTCTGGGAAGTAGGGACAAAGACAAATCAGGAATTTGGGATGTACTATAGGGAAAATAGGAAAGGGAGGACCTCCCAAGCAATATCTTTTTGTGTTCATAAACTATTAGGGAACAGTGACTCTTTATCAGGGTTCTAGCAGGCAAACAACCATCTTCCTTGCAAATCTACCATAGAGGCTTATTTAAAAGAAACACTAAAATCCACCTGGAACTCTGCCATAACTATCTGGTATGTCCCTGACAGAATGTCCTTTCAGGATATTAAAGTCTCTTGATTTATACTATGCCACTCTTCGCTGGTTTTCTTCCTACCTCTGGCTAATCCTGCTCTCATACAAGTTTCTCTTTCTCTGTCATTTACCAAAATGATAGAGTAAAGAGATCTGTGCATCACCAACATAAGTGATGTATTCAGCTCTTCTTCATCAAATAGGAAGTCTTGGATGGATGACAGAACATTGGAAGAAGTGGGCTGTAAGGCTGACAAGCTTGCCTTGACCAGTAATCCAAACAGGGGTGCTCAGCCAGCACGGTCCTCAGGTTGAAGGCTGGAGTCCAGTTTTGGAAGGTTTAGAATCATCATCGCCATGCATTTCTATCTCAAAGGTGGGGCTGCAGGAGAGTCCAACTGCCAGCTACTACCAGCACAGCACACAGACATGGTGGTGGAGACAATTTTGGTGTCAGCTACCAGCAGCAGCTTGATTTGCAGATTCTTTTACGCTAAGAAAAATGTGCATTTTCCTTTCAAAACCCAGCAGGATGTTACTAGTTCCTCAATCCCTCTGGGCAAAGAAAAGAGTGGATTTCGTCACTAAAAGCAATCAGCAGGAAATGATGAGAACATTATCAAAGATTGTTTACTAGCATTTAAGGATAAAATAAGCATTAATATGGAGGTCTTCTAGTCAATTACGAATGAGAGTATGTTAATAGCCATCTCTCCATTCCTAAACTCAAAAATATGGAGACAATTTTGTACTTCAATCTTTTCCTTCCCCCACCCCTGTGGTGTGTGTGTGTGTGTGTGTGTGTGTGTGTGTGTGTGTGTGTGAGAGAGAGAGAGAGAGAGAGAGAGAGAGAGAGAGAGAGAGAGAGAGAGAGTTTGTGTTTAAAGGATTAAAAGGAAAAGTTGGTTTCATAGCTCATAAACCTGGTAAGAAGGGCTGTTAAAGCTACCCCCAAAGTCACATAGATTATCATGGAGCTAATTACCACCGACAACTAGATTCCTTGCAGTGTTGTCCAACAGAACTTTCTGCAGTGATGGAAATTTTCTATATCTGCTTTATTCCATAGTAAGGAAACAAATTTTAAAATTTCTTTCACTTTAATTAACTTAGCTACAGGTAGCTGGTCATCAAATCTTCAGGCGAGACTTGGCAAGCTACATAATAGTGTCCATTGGAGAGTGTGACATGCTGGCCTTTCTGTGAGGCAGAAAGCACAGCAAGAATCAAGTCCTAATCAATTCTGCTAGGGAATCAGGGGACACCCTCATTTTGGGCACAGAGCCCACAGTTGGGAGCTGGCTACTGACCCACAAGGTCTCAGAATCCTGCGTTCAGGAAGCAGAGAGTTTATACAAACTACATTCTTAGAGCACTTCCACTAGGATTTCATATTTATCCTAGGCTGACCTAAAATATGCCAAGTTTCACTGTGTTCAGGAGAAGGACTGCTTTCTGCCTGAGATGGAAACATTCCAAGTCACAAAACAAGAAGGACCCAGCAATGCCCTCAAAGGAGAATGTCACCTTCTAGGTGATGAGATGCACAACTTCTCTATTGGTCCAAGAAAAGGAAAAAAAAATAGCTAAAGATAGAGAAGAAGGTCAGCATACCTTTCAAATCTTTCTCACTTCACTGAATGTTCAAAACCAGGGAATTCAGAATTCTGTCTCCCTAGAGACATCTGTCTCTTCTCACAGCTGGTGAATCCAGAGGCCCTAAATACTTGCAAAGAGGACTTGAGATGCCTTGAAATCACAATGGCCCCGACACTTATTACCTGGGAGCCTTGGCCAAATTATAAAAATGTCCTGCTCTTCATTTGTTATGTAATGGTCATAAATGCATGAATAAAACACATGTAAAGTACATATAAGTCTAACTACATGAGTAAAACTCGTAAAGTATCCATCAAGCATCTTCCATTGGGTTGGCTACATAGTTCTGCTACATGGATAGTCTTATTCAAACAAGACAAATCTGGGTTTCTGGAAATACTAGGCGCATTAGAACTGGGAGGCAGTAACCCATATGAAGCTAGGTTCAAGTCCCTGCCTCCTCACTCAAGAGCTGGATGGCCTTGCTCTAGCTTCTCATCTCTGTGATTCTGTTTCCTCTCCTCTCAAGCAGGAGAGGAAATCATCAAGTCTTTTTGCTTTTCCATTCAATGGTGGCCTCTCTCATCCACACTACAGGGCCCTCCACATTTAGGGAACAGAGATCATTCATTATTCTGATTTATTGAAAAGTGCCCCTTTCCTGAAAATGAACTAGCTTTTACTTGAAAAATATGCATTTATTTATATCTGCCTCTTTGTTAAAATGAGTTACAGTTATGTTTAATAAAATATTTAAAGGAAATTTCCATCAAATATAGAGGAAGAAATAGCCTGATGCCCCAAGGGTTTATATGGTGCTGTGCATGAACATCCTGTTTCCTTCCAGGTTTTCTGACTAGGCCACAGGACTCAGGTAAGGCTGTGGGCACAAGTGGGGAGGCACGCCTGTTCTGTAAGGGTGGAATAGGGCAAATTTTGTCCAGTGTTGAATTCCAAGGTCATTTTGTCATGTTAGCACACAGAGAAGTCATGCTGCTCACTGAAATGGACAGCGTCCTGGATAAGAAGTAAACTTTCATGTTATCATTTCTTGATGACTCTTTAGCCCTGGAGTCTTATTAACATCATTTCAATGCAAGTGATTCTGGAAGACCTTAATTTCCGAAATATAGAAAGCAGAAGGCATATCTTGAGACTACAGATTCTCAGGAAGCAAATAGTGGCCTTAACACAGACAACTCCTGGTATTTCTTTCTTTCTTTCTTTCTTTTTTCTTTTTTTTTTTTTTTTGCTCTCCTCTATGGGAGTCCAGGGAACACAGAAGGTAAAGTCTTAGATTCCATGGTGAGGACAGAGCAGGGAGAAGTAGGTATGTGACATCCAAAGCCACTCTACCTCCTGAATTTTAAAAGTCTATATTCTGAATTACTACAAGTTAAAAGCAAGAATATACATCATTAATGAATGTTTGATTGATGGCGAATTACCATACTAAGTTGGAAACATGTATAGTTTTATTTAACTCCTGAAACTATTTGATGTTAACCAGCAGCATCCCTGCTTGAGAGGAGAGGAAACAGAATCACAGAGATGAGAAGCTAGAGCAAGGCCATCCAGCTCTTGAACCTAGCTTCATATGGGTTACTGCCTCCCAGTTCTAATGCGCCTAGTATTTCCAGAAACCCAGATTTGTCTTGTTTGAATAAGACTATCCATGTAGCAGAACTGTGAATGAGATGAGGAGAATAATGGGCAAGAATCAACCAGGGTGCCTTCCAAACAAATGTGGCATAGGGAAAGACACTTTGATCCTCCCCTCTAGCTCTGTGGGACTGGAAGTGCCTTCCTACTTTCCTCCATAAATTTAATTACTTAAATCCACTCATCTGTGTCCTCCTCACTGTGGGACAAGCTTAAAGGGAGTGTGGCCATGTACACCTGTTCTGTAACCTGGTAGAGAGGTGCGAGATCCCCTGTGGAAGCAAATCTCTCTTAAAGGGATTAAAGTTGATTTTATGTCACATTCTCATTAATCTGTGTAAATCTAAACAGAATGTTTTGATGGGTGATAGGAAACCAATTTCAGCACAGTCTATTTTGAATCCCTATTTTTAAGCACAGAAGCAGTCATCCATTTTCAAATCCACTTACCAAGCATCAAAATGCCTTCCTTTCTGCACATGGAAGGATGATCTTGTATTAAACACAGATGGTCATGCTCCCTAGGGAGCTCAGCTAATAAATTCATCATCTAGATGCTAATTTTTTGTTGTTGTTTTTCATAAGGTAGCTCATTTCGAGAAAGTTGAAAAAATCTCAAGACAAGGGATGAACACTTTTATTTAAAGAAAAAAGAATCTGTAGTTATTTCATCTAGAAATAGTATTATTCTGGTAAGTCTCACAGCAAAGCAGAATGGAAGGTTAAATTCAGTTTTAAATATTAGGATTTTACCTGGGCGTCAGAGGAGGCAATTGGTGGTATTGTTTTATTTGCTATCTCGCATCCCTAGACTCCTGTGCTCTTTGCCTAATGTCAAATAAATAAAAACTTTCTAAGTCACCTTGATGGGGGCCCTGTAATCCTAAATATCGCTTTTTTCCGAAGGCAATGAGATCAGGGCATATAATGGACCACGTGACTTACTTGAGTTCTCTGAGCCTCTAGTGCTGTCCTCCAATTTATAGATGGGAATTTGTGGCCCTGAGAGGTGACATTCTGTTTGAAGATGCCGAGGTGGTTAAGAGCCAAGAGGCTTACAACCAAATCTATTATTCCCAGCTCACTTCTTTAACCCTACATAATCTTCCAGAATAATAGTGGCTGTCTTTTGTGTTGTTTTTGAAAAGCTACATTCAGGAGTGCCTTTCTTCCTTGCAATAACCTTAGGAGATGGGTATTGTTATCTGAGGGGGAAGCTGCCTGAGATCACATGGCTGGACAGGGGTGTAGGCAAGCTGAATCACCTCGTTCCTATGTTCTTTGGCCACCGTGCCACTCTGTGTTCTTGGAACACCAGTTATTCTGACATGATGCCCAATGAAAAACTGCAGTGAGTAAGGAGGCCATGAACTCATCCTTCGGTGGATGAATGGGAGAGGTGCGTCCTCTTCCACTGCTTTTCACATTAGAGTCCCAGCTATAACTCAGTCTTTTATTATTTTTCCCCTTTTCCTCTCCTGAGGCCCAGTGTAAAGCTCACTGTGAATCTTACAATTTCCTTCCTCCAAGAAGCTCTGCCTTTGAAAGTTCCTCCAAGTGATTTTTAATGGCAGCATTGAAATATTTCGAAGTTTCTTAATACTCAGTATTGAGAAGTTATAGAGAATGGCCAGGGGGTGGGTTTAACACAGACACAAAATGTTGATGGTCATTAGTGGTGAGCTTTGTGTCTGAACAGGGCATCCATCAGGTTTCTAAAATATCTGCCAGAGTTTCTCCTGGGCTGTAACTAATGGTCTCCTTAGTACAGCTGTTAATGCCTTCACTTACTCCTGACTCTTCCTCCATCTCTTTACCTCTCCCCAAACCTTACTTTTCAGTTTCATTTTCTGTTGGTTTGTTTCTAGGGCAATATGATAGGGACATTTTGACTAAACAATCAGCAGCAGATCAAGAGAGCAAGAAACTGTTCAAGGTGAATAAACAGCTGGAAATGCTTCCCAACTATTGGATCTTGTCTACTGGCACCATTTTGACTGGACATTTTCAGGTCAGAGATTGTAAAGACAATTTATAAATCTGTCTTGAAAAAATTGTGAAAATAGATTCTACCTCACCCAATTCATTGTTACTCATATCCCCAAATAAAATACCTCTGACCTGGGAGAGAATCTGTGTTGGATATTTGAGAATAAGAGTCATCCATGCTGAAAGCTCGCAGATCCAATGCAGTGGTGGGTGATGTGCCAGTAGCACACAGAGTCATGGTAAGGAAGGACCATGGAGCTTTGGAAGATGAACCCTGCTCTTCTGTGACTTTGAGTAAATTACTTCACCCCTTAATAGTAAGTTTTCTTATCTGTAAATGAAGCCATCATCACAATAGCTGCTATATAGGGTAATTATGCATTAATACAGTCATGCTTTGCTTGATAACGGGATATAGTCTGAGAAATGTGTTGTTAGGTGGTTTCATCATTGTGTGAACATCATAAAGTATGCTTACACACAAACTAAGATGGCTACAATGTTGCTAGCTGATAAAACCTATGGGACCACCACTATGTATAAGGGTCATTGTTAGGTGAAATTTTATGAGGCACATGGCTGAAAAACTAACGTTTTGAGAAAAGTTTTGCATATGGTAAGCACACAGTACACATTAGTTATTATTGACACCAACAACTTTGTATCATTAAATGTCAAAGAATGGCTATTCAGTTCCAAGAGCCTTTTGATAATTCTGGACTTGGTTCTTCCCAGGTGGGCATGGAAACAAGGTCTTCCCTGGACTGCTATTCCTGTCCTGAGAACAGTGCTGCTAGACCAATATCATGCCCTTGTAATACCCCAGGAGCAGGCCTCTGTTGACCTAGCTCAAGTGTGGAGTGTCCCCAAACAATACCTTGCCTCCGCCGGGCATTGAGTTTCCTAAAGCAGGTCCCTTCCACCAGACGGTTCAGGCGTTGTTGTTTGATCAGCTCTAAGATTTCTGGCTGGATCTTCTCCTTTAGTTCCCTGTTGGAGGATAAACACATATTCCACCATGCACCTTGAGAAACAGGGATGGGTCAATAGGGATCATAGAAAGATGGGCAGGGGAGTGTGAACCTCACCCTTTCATGAACCCATCCTAGGACCTGCCAAGTTTGTGCTTTAGAGAATCATTTATTACGCATCAGTGGCCAGGGTTATCTGTCACCATAACTCTACGGAGTCTCTGACATTTGCAGTCTATCCACAAAAGCACCAGTGGCTTTAGTGGTGTTTTTCCAGAACAAAGTATCCTGTGAAATGTCTTATTGTACAAAGGCACAGATATAACTAATGCAAAAGTCCAGACAGTAAAATCCCTGGCCATACTTTTTTTTTTCCCTTGCAGCAAGTAAACACCTAGATTACATTTGTGATTGACCAAACAGGATTATTGAGAAACTATGTGATTGCTATTCCACAGCAAATGTAGCTTGGGCAAAACATAGATCACTTTTTGCTTTCTATTCCATCTCATAAATGGGAACCACAATAGTGTCCTAGATTCTAGTCCATAGAGATTGAGATAATTATGGGATAAATTGAACATTATTTGCATCTTGTTTCAGGCTAATGGGATGTAATTTAGTTTCAGATGCACTATGCTACAAAGATAGTATGATAGACTGCCATGGTCTTCCTAGTTTTAAAAAAGATTTTTTTCATTTTTTTTGTTGGTTCATATTAGTTATACATAGCATTAGGATTCATTTTGACATAATTATATATGCATGGAATATAATTAGCTTCAATTCAGACCCCAGTACTAGCCCTTCTCCTTCCCCCTCCCTCTACCTGATCCCTTTCCTGAACTCCACTGATCTAAAAGACATCTTTATAGAAATTCTATGTAGCACCCTGGTATTCCAGTCTAATAAAGCCAAAGATGATCTAGCTGAAGCTGGACTGGGAGATTTAGAGCCCAGCCCCCAGAGCCATGTTGATAGTATTGGCTAGAGCACAGATCCAGAAGCCAGAAGACTAGACTTACAGTCTAGGTTGTGCACATGATTAGGTTTTTGTATAGCTCATCTAAGTCTTAGTTTTCTTATCTGTAAAATGGGGATAAGAATCTCTCCTGGAATCAGACATAGCATTCCTATGTTCATATATGAATACATGACCAGTGAAACTCTACATCATGTATGACTGAAAGAATAGGATCCTAATTAGAATACCCATGTATGTGTCATATGTCAAAATACACTCTACTGTCATGCGTATCTACAAAGAACCAATTAAAAATAAAAAACTTTAAATTTTTAAAATAAAAGCAGATAAGGAAGAAAAAAGTTTGATCATCATGTTTACTAACATTCTCAGCTATTTTAATTTTTTGTCTTCAAATATTTATTTCATATGCTTACACTTGAATTTTGAATTTTGTTATCAATATTTTACTTGCAACATATTTGTAGCACATCTACAAAACTGGGTGGGAAAGCAAGGCATCACTGAATTTGCTTTGGTGACCATCTCTCCTTTCCTCAGCCCAAACACTCCAAATGCCTATATTACACTGTAGTCGAGACCCACATACTCATCAGTTTCAGCTTTGACTTTGCACTTGCCCTGACACTGGATAGCACACAACCTGTTCACCTGATGCCCTGCCCAGGTGGGGAAGGTGCTGATGCTCTGCAAGCACCTGCTCTGAGTCTAACATGTCGTGCAATTAACTGACACACCCTAAATAAAACAACTTTTGAGGACAGGTATTAATATCATCATTCCCATATAACCAATGGGGAAACAGGTCATGGAGTTTAAGTGTAGGATAGGGTACAAACTCAGGTTTACCTCTTGCAAACTTCTTCTATTTAAACATGAGCAAAAAGAAAAAAGATGTACATAAAAGGATTCAGCCATCTAACAGGGTATTCTAGTACTGCACTGATACATATTTGGGAGATGATTAAATGGCTTCAAACCTCTTATCATTTGATAATGTTCAAAGTGAATACTTATAAAGCATAATATGAAAATTCTGCCTTAGTAATAATACAGCGTGGAACATTTGTAAAGGCTTCTCTGCACAGGTCTCTTAGGGTCTCATCTCGGGCTTTCAAATCACTATAAAACTATTTATCATCAGCGTTCAGCTTTTGTAAAATGGACTCAGTAAATTGAAGCTTTGATGAACCCTGAACTGAATGAAGAAGGTGAGGGATTGCTTGAACAGTCACACACAGCAATAAATCACCGCTACCGACTTCTAAGTCCAGGCGACTGGGGAGAGAGGATGAGATGGGACCTGTGGATGAAACCACAGGAGAATGAGTTTTCAAATTTCAGCAACTCTTAGGTTATAGATGTGTCTTTAAGTAGTAGTTTCACTGAGCTATAGTTGAGTTATTAAAAAGGAAAGAAAGGTGCAGAGACTAAGGGAGGGAATTCTGAGTAATTTTAACTGATGGTTAAGACTCAAATATTCTTGTCATGGCATGCTTCAGAACCATCTTCGGGGAACACACTATCAGAAGTGAAAATGTTGCTATACGAGTTTCCAGGAGGGGAGGGAGGGAAACGGAAGAGGCAAGGGATTATCAAGGATGGTGGAATGTGATGGACATCATTATCCAAAGTACATGTATGAACACACGAATTGGGTATCAACCTACTTTATATACAAACAGAGATATGAAAAATCGTGCTTTATGTGTGTAGTAAGAATTGTAATGCATTCCTCTGTCTTGTATTAAAAAAAATAAAATCAATTTTAAAAAAAGAGTTACCAAGTATTTTTAATTTTTGTCTTTAACTCCAAAGTCTCCAAAACCTGATTGGGTAATGAGGGAAAATGAGCCAACGTTTCTTTCTAACTGATTTCTTCTTCTTTTCTTGTGAATGGACTCAGAGCTATAAAATTCACACATATTAAGAAACTTTATTAATTCCCACAATATGCTTCTGTGGCTGAGATCTGACCTCCTGGTTGACTTAGGTAATAATAGCATGGGCTGTAACTGGGTTTTGAAATTGTTAGCTTGGGGTCAGTGAGGGTAGGGTCATGGGTTCAGTGACTTTGCTTTGATAGATATTCCTTTAATTCCATCCAAAGGATTTGTAAATTAAAAAAAAAAAGGAGGAGGGAAGGTAAAAGAATGTGTGAAGAGGAATTCAAACTAGCACCATTTCTGGAAAACAATTACATGCCCAGCCCCAAAGAGGCCACTACAATACAAAGAAGACAGACAGCATCATTAGACAGGTGAATTCCTTCCTCAACCCGGAGTCTGACCACTGAGCTACTCCCCACTGTTCATCTAAAACATGGGTTGGTAAACTTTTTCTGTAAAAGGTCAGACTGTAAATTCTAAATTTAGGCTTTGTGGGCCATGTGGTTAACTTACAAAAATAAATGTGGGCACATTTGGCCAAAGAGACATAGTTTGTGGGTCCCTGATCTAGAACCACTTTGCATGGACTTTGGGCTGACTGACAGTGTCAGTTTCAGAGAAATTGATCTGTTTTTGTCTCGATACTAGAAGGACTCAGGATTTAGTCTTTGAACATCTTTTGTTCTTTCTATAACCGACACATGGCTTCAAATACCAACTTTACACTGACAGCTTCCAAATTTATATTTCTAACCTAGAACTCTCTGATGAACTTCAAACTCACTTGTCTGACTGCCTGCTTGGATGTCTTGCAGCTTTGACATGTGCAGAGCTGAACTCCTGATCCCCTTGTCCAAATCTGCTCCACCCACTCTGCCCACTGGCTCTCCTTTAGTTGTTTAAATTCAAACTTTGAGCTCATCCTTGACTCTTCTCTTTCTTATAACTACATCTAATCCATCAGAAAATAACATTGTCCTCTTCAAAATATATCAAGTTCATAGTAAAGATTCTAATCACTTCTCATCACCTCTTGCTTGGATTATTGAATGAGCTTCCTAAGATCTTCCCATTTCCAAACTTTGCTTCCTTACTTTCTGTTCCCAGTATAGCACTCATGTCAGTCCTCCACTCAAAACCCTCCAATGGCTTCCAACAAGACCCTATGTAATCAGACTCCTGTGTATCTTAGAGGTCTTGCCTCCTATTTCTCTCCCCCTTACTTATTCTGATCCAGCCACATTGGCTTCCTTGCTATTCACTGAACACTCTGATCTGATCTGTTCTCAGGGCCTTTCCAGTGGTTCTTTGCCAAGAATACCCTTCTTCCAAATACCCACATGGCATGCTCCCTGAATCTATTACCATCCTAATCAGACAGATCTACTCTTAAACTCTTTTCAAAACTAGATTCTCTATTCCCCTTATCCTGCTTCATCACTCAATGAATGAATTCCTTCTTAACATGATAACATCTAATTTACCACGTTTTTCTGTTTCTCCACAATGAAATATAATCTTCATGGGGGCAAGAGTTGTGCCTGAATCATCAACCCATGGAAGAGTGGCTGACATGTAATTGGCCCTAAACACTGAACACTGTATACCTGACCAGACCATCAGGTCTGTGTTAGCTATGGGTGAGCTTTGAGTGACGTACCCAGCCAGTCTTTAGGGAGGATGCAGATGGGCAGAATAGGTGTATTTCTGGCCTGATTGTTTTCACTTTTCCTGTCTAGTAGAGCACTGAAATAGACAAAACATACCCTGGCTCCTGCCTGCTGGTTCCAGAGACTGGGAGAATGATCCCTGAACTTCCCGTCGAAGTGCTTCACCTTCTATCACCTCTTTATGATTTTACCACAGCTGTATATAATCAAAGCTCCAGTGGGGCTGTGGTGCTTTTCAGTCTCACACCCACCAATGATGCAAAAGCTATGTCTGTAGGATTTCCTCTATTTGTATTGCTTCCCCTTACAGAGCCAACGTAATGGTAAGAGTTTCTTGTAACAAAAGAAAAGAAACTTCCCAGTGTGACAGGTAGAACCCTGGGAACTGAAAATATGAAGGCAAAGCAGGAGCCAAGTGTTCACCCTGGACACACAGCTGACATTCTTCCTTGGAACAAAATCATGGTCAAACATCAATTTAGAATCACTTGGCTTTAACTGAAGTGATATTAATTTAGAATCACTTGGCTTTCACTTAAGGGATTCCTCAAGTATCCCTTTAGGTTTTAAGAATTGTTGTCAAAAGCATAATAAAGTGTCCTTGTGTAGCACATCTGCTGAAACTGATGCTATGAAATGCAGCATTTCAGGAATGTGGGACCTAGACAGGCCAAGGCACCACTGTCCCTCTTTGCAGATGAGAACTCACATCTGCAAGGAGCCAGTCACTTATTCCAAGTGATTTCCCCTTCATGTTTCTAGCTGTTGCCATCTTCTGGCTGAGGGCCAAGGCAACACCCCGGCAGCCTAACCTCCACTAAGGCTGGCTGGTGCACAGTGTGGGTGTGACGGGGTTTACAGGGATGCTAGCCAAAGCTCTCTGGAAGCATTTCCTGCTCTCTGTTGACTAACGCCATGCCCTCTAAAGTCAGTAGTTCTACTCTACAGTTTTCAATAGTGCTTAAGATTTGGAAACAAACATATACCCAGTATTATTACTGTTTGGCTGTTGTCACTTAAGACCTGTTCACTTTCTTAGCCTCATTTCAGTCTCACACATGGCAAAGAGACTCTGATGGGGTGAACAAAGCAGTCATGGAGGGATCAGCAGACTTGAGTTCAAGTCCAGGATCTCCACTTGTCAGCAAGGCTGTCACCTTTGTAGACTATATCTGAGACTTTGAATGGAAACAAGACCTGCCCATCTCTTACGGATGCAAGGAAATGAAATAGCATGAAGGATGCTTTGCAAATTGCCATGCATTAAACATGCCAAATATAAGAGAGGAAGAAATGAGGTGCAGAAAGAGAAAGAATTAGGAACAGAGAGGTGAGGCTGAGTTGAAGATGGGCTCCAGAATCACACCTGTGGTATGAGTTGGCATACACGTGCACACACACCACACACACACACACACACACACACGTATACATATTCAGAAGAAGCTGGGCCATTTTTCTGAGGACAGATGAGAATTAATGTCAAACACCTTTCCTCTTCCCTACCCATTCTCTGTTTTCTTTTCAATAAAATGTAAGGGTAAAAAAACAGAGTTCTTAGAAAAAGACATGGCAAGAGATGAGGCAAGCAAAACAGTTCTCTTATTGGAGGTTCAGAACATTTTAAAGACGAACATACATGAAAATTTGTACAAGCTATCTATGACATTTTATGCAAAGTCCTGTAAAAAGGGGGTCTGCTGCCTTTTACTGTGAGCCTGCAGGTTATAGCCACAGGGTCATTAATATAAGATGTTCCAATGCCAACCACTGCCAACTGGGCAGGGGAGGGTGGCTCTATCTCTGCCTCTCACCACTCACACATGCACTACTTTGGGGTTCACTGCTTTAATTATTGGTTGGTTTCACTCTGGGTAGGTTGGGACATCTTGCCACTCAAAGGGCACCTGTGTAAAATACAGTTTCATAGGCAAATAAATTTGCTCCAACTGTTAGAAAAAGTCCAGAACATTTTAGCTATAAATCCCTGGAGGACTGCCAGTAACTGGGCCAGCTCCTGGTTTAGATCCATTCTGCCAGAACCTGACCCTACTACCCCCTCAGCTCAGCCCACCTGCTCAGGCCTTCCTCAGGGAGCTGCCAAGACCTCTTTACGTAATTGGAAATCATTTGGAAGGTCTTCTGTTGACCTTCCCTAGTGAGGTCACGACAGCTCATTTGGGTGATTGGCACTCACTATAGAAATGGTATGTTAGAGCCTTCAGGGAGATGGAAGTCAGAAGTGGGTAACTTACAAAATCGGGCGGGACTGGAAATCTTCCTGGTTCATCCTCTCAGACTGGCGGATTTTCAGGATCTCGGTGTAGCTCAGGTTCTGCAGTTTGCTCTTGAACTGGTCCAGGGAGCTAGGCTTGGTTGTAAGTGCTCTCATAACCTGCTCCTTCACCACCTGCATTACCTGCAGATGAAAGGAGAAAGACCATCAGTATCCTGGGAGCTGTCATATCCTGTTCAAAAAAGTCTTCGGGAGTTAATAGCTCACTGCCTCCTCCCTGGTTGCTGCTGCATATACTCTCAGCCCCAGGCTTGAGTGTGCTTTTCCAAAGAGAAAACTTCCATTATGTGCATCTTCATCTTAACTTTTTTTTTTTTTAAACCACAAGGAAGGAAATGGACTGATTAACTTGGAATGGAGGGGAGTGAAGCTTGGGAAAGGAGGAGTGTTCCATTTGTTCCATACATTATGTGATTGCTGCTGAAACTCCACTGTAAACAATACAAACTCAAGAGTCAGAAATAATCAAAGGCCAAACAACAGCTAGCAAGCCTGCCTGCTAACTATTTTTTTCCAGGAAAAATTGCTAAGACACAATTAACTGTGGAAGTCTGGTTGGCATCAGTTCCAATGAATGCATACAGATACCCACACTTCCCAGTCTTTTTTCCCCATGTTAGGGCTTGAGTATTCATGAAAACTATACACTTGGTTATAAGCATGTGGTTTAAACAAAGAGGTTTATTAAATTAGAATAGGTAGATCCCATTGGAAACCTCAAGAAAGAAAGAAAAGGTAATTTGCTGCCTCAAGACATGTCTAGCTCACCAGAAGACAATTAACCACTGCCTTTGTGAATGTAGATTCATCCACAGGATTTGTAATCTTGCATAGATCTTTTCATTTTTCATTACATATGAAAGCAAGTATTATCCTTTATAAGGTGTCTACTATGTGCTGGATGTTATGGTATATTTTATACACACACACACACACACACATATACACACACACTCTTTGTCCACTCAAATCTATAAGGTGAGTATCAACATCATCTTAACATATGAAGAAACTGCTTTGCAGCATTAAAAAATTAGTTAAAAATCACATGGTTAGGTGATAGTGGCTGAGTTGGGATTTGATCCTAGGCTTTTAAACGTTTTACTATATTGCCACTCATTCCACCATTCTTGATGTCTGGGGACTGTCATACCCTGTTTCTTTTGGAAACTTAAAAATAAGACAAAACCAAATACAAACCTATTATCCAATGAGTCCTGTGCCAAGCACTTAGCTATTCACCATCTCATTTAATTTTCCCTCTAATACACTGGACTAGGTGTGTGATCATTATTTTAAAGGTAAAAGGACTGAGAAAAGATGGACAACTTGCCCAATATCACAGATCATTGAATCCTAAGAGAGCAAGTCGCCCAGATAGATACTCCACAGACCTGATGCTGAACAAACATGAATGAAGTATGGTCTTGCCTTCTGTGAACTGAGGGTCTAATGAGAAATGTGGGCATGGCCAAAGATCATCACAGGGGAGTGTGGAAAAGACAGAGAATGATGGATTTTGTTGGCAGGGACACAAGGAGGGGGATTTCATTGAAGATGACATTTGATATAGGTTTTAAAGGAAGAATGGCTATTCAGTAGTGTGGAAATAGATGAATTCCCTGGAATGTCACCACACATTAGCCATTTTGGACTGGGCTACATCTAAATTGGAGCCAGTTATATAAGCATCATTTCATGCTCTCAGCAGAATGGCATAAAGGAAAATTCCCAGTTGATTTTCCCCACTCTGCTTCTTTTTTTACTCAAGCAAAATGCTAACTTTGGGATGCATGACAAATTTTGAAATAGTGACCATCTTACACCATGCTGCATAAATGGTGTTGATTTTAGTCAACTATAACACTTTGCCATCTTATGTGAGGGACACCCCTTTCTCCATTTAGAGAGCCTCGGAGTTGAGGCAAAGAGGTCATTATTGCCTCCCAATGTTTTTTGACCTTCTAGTGAGAAGGAGGACATGTAAAAGAGACAAAGAGAATGAAAGGAAAAAGGATTTTTGAATATCAGGTTAATGTTGACCTTCTCCTCATCTTGTAGAGAAAGAAACAATTTCAGAGGGCCAAGTAATGCCCTCACTTCTTAAAGGGTTGTCACAGAGATGACAATTTCCATGCCACATCTGCCTAGACTCCAGCAACAGGGCTAACGACTGAGCCTATGACCTGAACTGACTAACCCATGTCCTTGCCCAGATTTCTCTGACCTGATCCAAGATGGGGCAGTTTCCTCCCTCAAATTGGGAACTATAAAACTATGTCCCTTAATATTGGGGAGAGTGGAAGATAAGGAGACCAATGCCAATAAAAGACAGAATCATGATCCTGAGAGAGTGTTCGTAGGTTAAACTTTAACCATCAGGTAATTTCAACCCTTGCCTTTGGTGCTTTGGTTAAATGAATCTTTTCTTTTTCCTAAGATGGTTTGAATGGGATTCCTGTCACTTGAAACCAGAGTAACATATATATGCAATGAAGTCTAAGAGGAGTACCAACTTGTGGGGCTGAGGTTACCCAGACAGAGGGAGAAACAGGGAAGCTGGATAAGAAACAACAAAGGTACCTCGTGAAGAAAACACCTTTAAAAAAATCACCTTTCATTTATGTGTGCCTGGTTGTGCCTTTGCATGGAAACGATGATCTATTATGGAATGGGGAACATGACTCCTACCTCATGCTTAAAATCCACTCTTAGAGCTTCATTACTCTAGCTTAAGACTTTGATCCCTGTTAGATGCAAGAATGCATAGTAGAGAAATCCTTTAAATTCCCCCAAATGACTCACACTTCAATTTTAGCAAAGTATAGAATCTTTCCTAAAAATAGGTTGGGTGACTGGGAGAAGGGACCACACCACCATCAGGTCCCAGGGGAATGGAAGCTAGTGGTGTGTCTAAAGCACAAAATAGTCTGGTGGAGCTCAAGGGTAGGTCTCCCTCCTTTACTGCCCAGTTTTGCTTGGCATTGGCTTTGAGAAGTTCCACTGTTATTCTGTATGCCAAGTAAAGCAACCTCAGTGAAAGATGTTATTGTTTATTTATTTTTAAAGCTTTTTAGTTGTTGATGGACCTTTATTTTATTTCTTTATTTATATGTAGTGCTGAGAATTGAACCCAGTGCCTCTGCTAGGCAAGCACTCTACCACTGAGCTACAACCCTAGCCTTCTGTTATTGTTTAAGAAGATAACATAGTTATGTAAGTCAAACACTCCTCTGTGCCTTTGCAAAGTAGCTTCTACAACTGTCGTAATGAATCGTGCTAAGTATCTGTGAATGCTCCATGTGTACAATTTAAATCAAGACTTTCACAACCACCATTGTTAACTTTGTCCTCGGGAAAATAGCAGACCTTTTACTATTTGTTTGAAAAAACCTGCAGAAGGTGTTGCAGAGGCGTCAGCAAATCAACAGAGTTATACTTTCTAGTTACAGCACATGCTCTGCCATAGACATCAAAGAAAAGAATGCTCTTAGAATCTCCATTTGCTGGTGGTATTGACACCTTCTTCAAGCAATGTCTGCAACTCGCCAGTGGTATGCTTCTGGAATTTTCCGAGTATTTGTCTGTTCTCTGTAATAATGTCATATGTTACAAAAATGTAGGATTCCCACAAGATGATTGTACTTCAAACCGAGAAACATTTTGGCTGCTTGGAAGACTGGATTAGAGAATGGAATCAAAATTGTTGCTGGCAAAGTAGTTTAACTGTGCACCTGGTTTCACTGTTGTTTATTTAAACGTGTTCTTGCATCTTATTCCAAGATCTACTGAGCCTCTATGTGTTCCTGGTTTAATCACTTCTCTGATCCTGCCTTAATATCCACAATCCTCAACCAGCATCATTCACCCATTCATTTAACAAATGGGCTTCAAGCACCTACTTGGGGAAGGGCAATGGATGACACTGGGAGCCTTGTATGAAATGAGCTCTGGGTAGGTGGCTCAGACACATACAGGATGTCACAGTGGATTAAGAGGCTGTGCATTCATTCTATAAATACAGAGCCCCCTCTCAGGTTCCAGCAGGATGAGGATATAGTTTGGGAACTTTGGCTGAAGCTTGAGGAGATGCCACAGGTAGACACACTGAGGTGCAGGGGAGAGGCCATTCTTGGGAGAAATAATGTGATCAAAGGCTTGGAGGGAGGAGACGCAGCTGTGAGTGGGGAAGGGTATATGCTGTTCTCCTTTGAGTGGAGAAATGAGGCCAGGCTCCAAGGTGTAGTTGAAAGGCAAGCTGAGCCACATGGTGGCTTTGACAGCTAAGATGAAAAATTTGGAATTTTTGTTTTCTCTAACTAATGATAAGTAACTAGAGGATTTGGGGAGGTGCAATGGAATTCATTCAAGCTTGCTAGGACACCTATGAAATAGTTATTATTTGTGCTCGAGTTGGGGTAAGGAAGGGATATTAGGGAAGAAGTCTTCATGGCTGAGACAAAATTTGTGCTGAGACTTGGAAGATGAATGGGAGTTATTCACTGAAGAGAGGAAGGAAATTCTAGGCAGAGGGAGGTGTAATAGCAAAGGCAGGGAGGTGAGGCGGTTATGCCTCAGACATTAAAGAAAATATACTTTTTGGAGTCTACACCAGCAACTATCCACAAATGGGGGTTATGGTTGCACTAGGACATCTCAGCCTCTAGAATCTGCCACCCTGGCTTTGAATAAGGCTGTATATTTCTTGGAGTTGTGCCCTTCCTCAAGATACTCAAACTCTCCACAACTCATTGTAACCATCTGGAAGCTAGGAATACTAATAATGTAGAATTCAAGGGACTGTGATTAGATAATGCCTGACACTTTAGCAAAGGCCATTTCCCCTTCTTCACTGTATTTTGCTCACTGTAAAGTCGTCGTAGTGATACAGAATAGAATCATATAACAAAGAATTATTATGAAATTTAAATAATATATGTATGCAAAGTACCTCATACATCCAATGGAGAGTACTACATGCCCAATAAGTATCCATTTTCTTTCCCTCCCAGGAGGAAATAACTTAAGTCAGAGGTTTCTCCTATAAATATATCTTCCACAGGGTGTTCTTAGATCACATCTGTATCATCTAGGAATTTGCTAAAATTGAAACATGTTGAGCC